GGGGGGGAGGAGTCCCTCTCCCGGGTGCATTTGCCTTTCTGTAGTGCTTATTCAAGGCTATCATTATGTCTTTCCATGTAGCCAAATTCTTGAGGGCGTCTGTTTTTCCTTCACTGGCTTTTTCAATAACCTTGTTCCCTATTTTCCTCCAAGATGATACTTGGTAAGGTCCAGCTAGAGGTAATGCAGGTTCATGCAAGGAAATCCAATATAACAAGTCCCATAACTTACTTTCTTCTACGGTTATACTCTGTTCTTGTAAAAGTCGAGAGATAGCTTCAGCTGTTTGTTTGATTTTTGGAGTAATTCCCTCCTGACGGGTAAACCACCCTCCCATATTCGCCAATTTTTGGTTACCTCTGTGCTGAAGCTCTGTTGTCCTTTCTTCTGGTGCTTTTTTCTTCCTTTTTTGTTCCTTTTTGCAGAGGTAACCCAGCGCGCTGGACATCAGCAGCTCCAGAACACTTTCAGCCATGCCAGTTGCTCCTGGGAATACCTCATTGAATTTGCATGGGCTCCCTCATTTACGTTCAAGCTTTTCCTGTCAATTTGCATCATCAGGTACTAGCAGGGGCTGCTGATACTTGCACCTATGAGGGAGCATCAAGACCTGGTTACAGGGTTCTTCTGTCTGGATTCTGGCAATTCTCAGGGAAGCTCTGGCAAGGATGAAGGCTTGGAGAGCCCCTTTTTCTCCTGCCTTAACCATCCTTTCCAGAAGTGCTGCAGCAAAACCAAAACACAGGCTTAGCAGGTTTGGTTTCAGCATCAAAAGAATACTCCATTGGTAACGCACCATAATCTCAGGGACTGAGGATGTCACTTTTGAGATAGATTAATTTATACAAGCTTTCACAAACATTTCCTTTAGATTCTAATGATGATTTAACATCAGCTTCTTCAGTTTCGTATTGTCCCAGCTAATCTCTTGAAAAGCAACAAACAATAAATAAAGTCTCCTTTGGGCTTGTTACTGACTCTAGGTCTTGACTGTCACAAGTAACTGCAGCAGACAACTTCTTTCATAAAGACATCACAGAACTATTTTCCTCCTCTCCTGAGTGTCTGGAAACTGGTTCCAGAACTCTGCAACTGGGAAAGGTAAGACCACCTCCCAGCTCTGGGGGATTTCAAGACTCTAGATACATGCAACTTTTCAACACCAAGGTAATTTGGGAACTGGGGGAGTACAGGGGGGAATTCCAGGTAAAACCTTGGCATGAACAGCAAACACTCAGTGCAATTTCTAAATTTCTAAATTTCCGTTTTCTAAAAAAACAGAGCATTTCAGTGCCTCATTTCATTTACTTTAAGCACAGCATTGCTTGCGTATTCCTTTACTACAGCAAGGATTATTGTCCAGCCACCTTTTCTCCTTCACAAAACCTTGGTGTTATTTCGCCTGTGTAAATAAATTCTATTCACCTCAAAAAAAAAAAAGTTTCTTTTTTCCTTTCCCTGGATTCTGTGTCAGCCTTAAATTCCCCAGGAATTAGCCAGTAGGGCACCGTAGAAGTGTAGTGCGTCCAGTCCTTCCCATATTTGCTGGAACAAGAGTACTCGTCCCTAATGCAGTGGTGGGGGAGCAGAATGGTCATAGAAACGATGCAGAAGTATGGCAAGATGTGTGCAAACCAATAGGCCAGGCAATAGGCCAGCGAGCCCAGCAGGTCTCCTGCGTAGTTGCAAAGATGAGCCCACCCACAAAATCCCCAGGTCATCAGCTTACTGTAGTACTTCATGCCATCCACAGACATGTAGGAGCACTTGACGTACTCGGGTTTCTTCCCCCAAATCCTGCAGTTCCCATCTGTACGATGGAAAAGGTCCTTCTGATTTTTGGTAACTCGAAAGATGTGGTCGCAAATCAAGCCCAACAACAACACCCCCACAGCATTGGCTGTGCCCAGCTGGATGGGGTGGTCAACCAAATACAAACTCTGGGGAGCACAGAAACAAGTCACTGACTTGCAACATGTACTCAGGATGCCAGGGGAACAGCAGAGTCGGCAATTGCCTGAAGATGCACATGGCCAGGAAAAGGCTGCACTTTAGAGTGGGAACCCCAGCCACTGCAGTAAGGTATTCCCAGGAGCAGGTGCCACAGCATCTACTGTCCTTGAGAAACCTTTGCCCAGTCTAAACCTCCCTGGACTCTCCGGCAGTGCTGTAGGAGATGACCCTCCACATGTCCCTGCAAAATATCCTCCAGTGCAAAGGCAGGTGTTTGCAACTCCAGGGCTCTCTCCCGATGCAGTATGGCAGGAGCATGAAAAGGAATATCTCCACGCCTCACTTCTGGCAAAAGATCCCATCCCTCCCAGAGCCTCTGGGACAGCTGAGAGACTCCTGTCCCGAGGGATTCCTCTGTCTGCTCTCCCTTCTCCCTTTGACCTGCAGGTGTCAGCACACTCAGCTCATCCCTGAGGATGCACCTGGCAAGGGAAAGCCTGGAAGTCTTGAGCTTCTTACAGTCTCCAGAGAAGGCATTCCCACCAGCAAGTTGCAAGCTGACTTTGTCTTCGAACCACCGGTTCCCAATCCATTGCTTCCAAGAAAGCTACCACAAGGGAAGAACCTCTGCACAGTGCAGGAAAGTATCCTGTGCAGCAAAAGCAGCTGTTCCCATCTCCAGGGCACTCTATTTATCTGGCTGTGGAGGACCAACAGAGTTAATATCTCCACAAAATTTTTTTTCTGGTCAGAGCCTTCATCCTTCCCAAAATGTCTGTAAAACCTGATGGAATCCAGAAGGAGGTGTTCGTGAGAGAATCA